GGGATGGGCTCTCCTCCCCAACTCTCATCGCCCTTTCCTCCCACCCGCCCCAAGAGTCTGGCCTGGATCCACCTATGATTCTTTGTGAGAAAAGGATGCACATTTTAATTAGAGAGTATTCCAAGTGATAGCACCTGCTAGCAAAAAGCGACCACCCGCACTGCTATCGATAACCCTTGCTTGCTTGCTGCAGCTAGGGAAGCTTATGGATGTTTTAGCTCTCCAGCATACAGCCACTACCAGTTTACCATCGAAACAGAAGGAATCGTTTGCCCACCGCTGATGAAATGGTACCTTTGACCCTCAACAGCACCGAAGCAGTACATGTGATTTCAAAATTCTTCCAAATGGTTCTGGAGTGATTTTTTGTCTCGTCCTTTTTTCCTTCATGCAAAATTTACGGTAATCATGCATGCTGGAGGTTAAGATCTCACGCGGCCCCGTGATGCAACAACATCCTCCCAATCGACGCCCTTCTTTCCTAGCAAAAATGTTGTCCAGTTGCAATGCTAACAATAAAAAGGAACACAATACAGCTCAGTGCACCGGAACACTGCTTTTAAGATTCACCTCCTTTCCCTTTCCCTCATAAAACAATTTCTCGTCTCCCATAGGTTTTTCATTTAGTCCTTCTTCTTTCCTGTATTCCATCTCTTCCCTTCCGTTTTATGAAAACCTTTTAAATAATAATGTTTCTTTTTTGGTAAGCTCTCTTCCTAACTTAAACAATTTTCTCAATACAGGGATCAGTTTGTTCAGTTTTGAAATTCCAAATCGAAACAGTTATAAGAAACGAAACTGGTAATGGTACCAAAAAACACCAACTACTGCACATAGGATAAAACGCATACAAAAACGAAATATTTGATGCCAATTAATACGAGAAGTGAAGTGGTGTCATTGCTGAAAGAAAACTGCAGAATTATGCGCATCCTTGAATCCTTCCACAATAAGCCAGCCAGAGCAAGAAAACGATCAAGCAGTACGATAAGAGTAAAGGGAAAATCAACATGGGGATGGCGCCGGCCTCGTTATTTCCCATCCTCAAAGTGTATGTACAACAAACACAGAGCACTGCACAACGAACGCGATAACAGTCGCAATTTTTTTCTTTTTTTAGAAAAATTACATGCCCTTGTAGCTAACGCATACACAACATTATTCATATCCACGAAGGAAGAAAGAAACAAAAAGTACACAAAGCCCGGATGAATTCTAAAATCGACACTAAAACTTCCTTCCCAATTAACTCCTAGCCTCCACAATTTCGCATAGTTTCACACAGTATTTCATATAAAGATTTATGGCTTCCCGTATGAAATTACGCAAGGACCAATTTTCAACAAAAAGCCAAAAATCGCTGTGTGAAATATTACGTGAAACAGCCTTTACCTGCCATTTACGTGACAAGTTATTTTTCTGTTAATTCAGTACTGGAGTAAAAAAGAAGAGATTATGAGAAGCAGGAAAAAAATGGCCAGAAGTAAAAAGAGAAGAGATGAGGGGGAAGATTTACTGTTAAAAACTAAGCTAACCAACAAGCAATAGGTCTTTTCGCTGGTAGCTAAATTTGGGATTTTATTGAAAATATAACGAAAATAGCTAACAAAAGTTTTAATCTCAGTGCTAAATTGGAGCACGAGCACATAGAACGAGGTTACAGCCTACTGCAAAATGTATATCAAGCCGGTGGTGATGCTACTAGGCTTCTGATTTTTTTTTTTTTTTGTGAACAGGAAAAGGGCTCAGTTTGACTGAGGTTGAAAAATAACACTCGAAAGAAGATTTATTCACATTTTTCAATT